CCATGTCAGCCTGACGTGTTTGGCTATTACCCCTTGCCCGGGTTGTTGGTAACCGGAAGTCTGGGTACGGATTGAGGTGTACTGACATCTGGTGGAAGCAGCAGCACTACCTGTTTCATCACTCTGGTGAACATGTAGGGCGCTGTGCCTAACCCGAATGGGGGGCACCCGAAATTTGAATACTTGGCCCAGCTGGGCGATTCAAAGAAGATGGCAACTCACTGGGTGCATCGGTACGTGCAGGTACGCCCCGCTTAAGTCCAGCGGGGCTAGCCCGTCAAAACGGTGGATGGAGAGAAGAACCCTGGATGGTATCTCCATGTGGAACCGATCAAGGAGCACGTACTGATTCAGTCTGCCGAGGTCCAAAACTGGACGCCTGCCACTTGTAGATTTGGTACTACGAACACATTTGGGAAGAAGCCTGGCCTTAGTTCCGGCTGATGTACCCTGTGTATGGCGTCTTTCCCCAGCAAACTGCTACTTCCTGTCTGATTGCTTCCGCCTTGCGGGAGTCCCCTGGCAGTGCCCAACAGGGGGATGTCACCACCTGGAAAGGTCATGGGATCGGTCATCCACCGTCTCTTAACCGGACTACACCGGCGCAATCTGTGTACGACAAAGATATGTGGCCATGTGTTCGGCAGTTGCGAGGGGGGGCTCCCTTCACCCATGAGGTGAGTTCCCCAAGGCCTGAAGTAGTCACTAAGTTGTGACCTGGCCATTCATCGAACACGCCGGGTAGACGTCCGCCCAGGGAGGGTGAGAAGCCACCACCCGGCTCTTACCTCCCTGGGGGCGCGCCACTACCCTTCCCTCCCATGGAAGGGTATAAGCGCTTGCCTCCAGGCTGACTCTGGCGAGCGAACGACGCCCTAGGGCGTTGTGTTTTCTGTGCTTGGGGTGCCCTCCGTTTGCCCCATGGCAGGACCAACTGGCTAGCGGATTCGATCTGAACCCTCTGGTTCATTGCAGTTCGAAGCTCCGAGACTGTACCCATCATTCCCTGAACAAAGGGGGTGGAGGATGTCCAGTCTACGTCACTGAGGTGGGGGACGTACCCTGGCTCAGCTTGTCGGCAAAAACACATGCGTCTAAGGCCGCGTCCCATAGCACGGTAGTGGCCCTGGCCAAGAGAGCCAGGCGACACTAGGGGGTGTCGCATAATAGATGTGCGGAGACCCACCAGTAAAAATGTCGCCTGGTCTAGGAGGCTGGTGCGTTCTGCCTCCAAGGTCTCCAGAGTGCTGGTCACGCATAATAATGTGCTCAAGCAACTCTGCCCTCAGGGCTGGATGGGTCGTCTTCAATTGGCAAAGACATCCATGGAACGCGGATATCCCCCTTTGCCTGGTTTGCCAAATTCGTGGTACCGGGGTCTGGAGAAGGAGCCTTGGAATCCGGTTGGGGGCGTTTTGGTTTCATCCCACGCTATGGGGTCTGATCCCGAAACCACACTGACCGGGTAGCGTTTGGTCCAGTGGGAAGTGTTGCCTAATGTTATCCGCACCCGGGGGGCCTTAAGCATTACATCCTCCGCGGCTGACCAATGCCGCCCATCAACACAGTTTGCGTGCTCTGCGCCCCACACCGCACTCAGGCGGACAGGGAGAGATTTGCCGACGGGGTTGCTTTGGATCCCGACGCCTGTGATCCCATAAGCGTTGAAGCAACCTTAGGTGGTCGCTCTAGGATCAAGGGTGGGGGTATATACATCGTATCACTGGGATCGATGATACTCCGCCTCACCCCAAAAGCGTGGCTCACCGAGTCATATACAAAAATGTAGATGGAAGACTCTGAGGGACAGCCCGGAGTACCAGCTGTATCCAACGCGAGCGAACTGCATCTCCTTTCACTTTAAATATGTGAGAGGGAGCATGTTCGACTGTGCGTCTCATGACAGGGTCGGTTCCTTCTGGGGACGCCCGTGGGTGGGAAAAAAGGAGTCAAAACCAACAGCGGGGACAGGACACAAGGAAAAATTCATTACCGTTGTACCGTTACCGCGCGACGAACCCTAGCTGGCTGAAAGTAGGGGGGTCAACGTGTGCCCTGCCCTGAAAGCCCTGCCCAGAGATCGGAGACTTGGCTGCCAGCACCCCGTTGGCATTCAGTGCCAGAGGATCCAGAGAAGGACCGGTGCAATTAGCCTGAGTCTCGGCCTCCCCCCAAAATAGTGGGAGAGCCATGCCTGGGAACGGGGGTTCCCCGGAAGAGACGTGTTTGAATGCAAACATGCTTTCGTGTCTCTTCCTGCTTGCCCACCGAAGGGACACAGTGGAGACAGCTCGCTCCGACTGCGTCTGATCTACCCGGCCCGCCAGGGACGCAATTGCCCCGACAGTCCTTCGACCAAAGCCCTCAACTCGGAGGCAAACCCGGCGCCGTGCGAGAAAGGGTCCACAAAGAGACCCGCAACGGGCCCCATAGGAGGAAAGCCTCCAGGGGCACAGCCTCGCTGCAGCCGGTAAAATCGGGTAAAACACCGCCTGAAAAAACAGACTGTGAGGATGCCTTCTGATCAGCGGGGGAGACCGAGAAAAATATCGGTACCTCCGCCGTCGGGCCTCCTACTCGACGTCCCGGTACATGAAGTACCGGTAGCCGAGCGTGAGGACTTTCCACTCATGCCAAACACGCAACTCACTTTAACCGATATGTTTACTGGACGCGGTCAGTCTCAGCGATACGACAAAGTATCTCGGATGCGGGTTCTATGCTGGTAAATTCTGAATATAACCACTGCACGGTCGACTCGAAACACGAAGAGACCGGAAAGAAAACGGCAGCGAGCCCTGGTGCTGTCATTACATCTATATATTGCTAAATACATTGAAAATAAAAGACGACATGCATGAGGGAAACGAATTATAGTTGTAAAAGGTGCCGCCTTGAAAACCAACTGGTTACGTAGTGGCGCCGGATTTTGATTTTTTTGCTGTGAAAAATACTACACACAAAGGGGAAAACGACACGAGGGTAAAAATGACAGGAAAACCTATCCTACCAGCTACAA